CAAATCAGCCGGCTGCATTACTTCATCGGGATTCACCGAATTCCATGTGCCATGATTTAACGTGGGCTCATCCATATTCGTATCCATGTGCTCATCCAAAGCCTCGTCCCTGTCAAAGTCCATCATATCATTAGAATCCTCGTTACGATTACCAGCCATGCCATAGGTGGGAATGTCACCCAACGTTCGGCAAAACTCCGCGGTGGCGTTGAGCACAATATTACTGTCGGCGGAGCCAAGCTCAATTTCACCGGAGGCACTAGTCTCATCCACAGGCTCAGGCTTAACGTTGTGCGTAAGGGACGCTACGTCGAGGGGCAGAGGTTTTTTTATGATGTTTTCCTTTTGCTTAAGCTTGCGAGCCTTCGACAGAACACGCTCCAAATCATCATCGTCATTTTCCAGCTTAATTTGTGGTTTTGTCTCATCTTTCATGGGAACATCTTCATCAGGATGACGATGACTTCTATTACGACTGCCCAAATTTGAGGAGCCTGGTTCCTCAATTGGTTCCAAATCCTCTGCTTTTAGTTTTTGCCGCAATTTCTTAACTTTCTTCTTTGGCTTCTTAAATCTGCAAGGAAAACAAAAGTTATAAAAATTATTTAATCTACCTAATCAATGTAGCTTACGTTGCCAGCTCCTGAACACTGAAAGTATCGGATGCTAATTTCAAATGCGTGTCCTCCAACGTTTCCAAGCGCTTGCCAGCTAATTTTGTCTTGATCTCCAATAGCTTGCGTCTGTGCTCACGTTCCTCCTCAACGTTCTCTCCAATGACGAAGTTCTTCCTCTTCTGGGGCTTCCCCTCGATGTCCTCATCGTATTTCTCGAGTATTGCTCGTTCAATTGGATTACCTAGCTCATCATATTGCTCTTCATATACATTATAGCCATAACTAAGAGGGTTAAGCTTTTTGTTGGATACATTCTTCTTGTATCGTTCATCGTCAAGCATGTTGACATTGACCAAAGTGTCACCTTCCTCCTCATTGAGAACGTCCTGATCCTTGAGAGTTAATATTACGGTTCGGCCTTCACCAAAGTCATCCATATCATGCTCAACACGCAAACCCTTCAAATTGCGATCGTTATAGGCCAATTGACGAGCTTTTTTCTTCTCTTCTTCCATTATGTCGGCAACACCGAACGCCTCATCAAGTTCCTCCAGCTCTTTGGCCTGTTCCAGAAAAAAAAATTTGCATCAATTGGGTTCGTAAGCTATTGATTTCATGGTTTACTTACCTTACGCAATGCCTCCTCACGTTCATTAACAACACGCTTGTTGCGGTCCACCCATTTGGACACATTGTCCGTTTCCTCATCTGATTCGCCCAGTGTACGAATTCGTGCCAATCGCTCTTCAAGGAAACGTTTCTCCTTCCGTTGCTTAAGTTTTTCTCGCAGCTTTTCGGCCTCCTTTTTCTCTTTAATATTATCGGCAGGCTTGTGCAGGAATTCGCCCCATTCGTCCTTATATGAAGAGAGATCCTTATCGGCGCCAGTTCTTTTGCTATCCTGTTGACTGTCACTGCTAGCAGATTTTGGCTTGGTCGACCCCGTATCCACTTCAAGTGGCTTCAAGCCGAGCTTAGCACGCAACTTGTTTGTCTCTGCAATGGAAAGAACATCCCCGGCTCCACTTTCTGGAATAGGCGAATGACTACGTGACCGTACACGTTCTCGTTCACGTCCGGGCTCTCGTTCCCTGTTCTCGTTCCCACGTTTACGACCAGCGCTCGTCTCTCCTTTGGGCGAATGTGAACGTTGCCGATGCGCTTGATGTGGGGCTGTTGGTGATTGTGATCGAGAGTTGCCACGCCCACGCTCGCGCTCTTTTACTGCTCTCTTACGTGATTCTCGCTCACGTTCTATTTCACGCTCTCTTCGACGCTCGCGCTCATAGTCCAAATGCTTGGATATTTGTGGCGGTGGTGGAGCTGTTATTGCATGATCTCGATCTCGTGTCGATAGCTCACGCTCCCGAGCTGGCGGTTCGCGATCTCGGACATGTGTGTCCCGCTCTCGAGTGGCTTGCTCGCGCTCTCGAGCAGATGGTTCTCGCTCGCGAATAGGTGCCTCGCGAACTGATACATCACGTTCTCGTACCAATTCTCTTTCCCTTTCTCGAGTTGGCACATCTCGTTCCTTAGCTGACGATTCACGTACTCTTGCCTTTGCAACTTGTTCGATTGGCACCTCCACACAGTCGGAACCTGTAAAATAAAGTGAACAAGCTTAAATACAGCTTCAAAGTCATCTTTATCTGCTCAATGGCTTGTTAATAAAATTGCAATTCTTCGTTGCATTTGTTGCCCTCTCTTCTCACACTCACAGTCTGTATACCTGAAAGCAACCAATAAAGAGAAGAAAAGAACAACAAAACTTTAGTGAGTTCTGATCGCAGAGAGTGCAGCCCCAGAGCAAATGTGTGACACATAGCACATAGAATAAACCCAATAATATCGCTTTTCGTGTTTAGATATTGCATGCCGGGCACGCAGTTACTCCTTCCATGGGGCTGCACAGTCAACTAAATGCTACGCTACTTACTATCAGAATCCGACTCCTCCAGGGATATAACCTCGCTAGGTCGCTCACGCTCCTTTTGCTTATGGTGCTTGTGTCGGTGCTCCTTGTGTTTCTTGTGCTTGTGGTGTCTGTGGCGCGTCGACGTCGAGTCGTCTGTGAGATCCAGAGTAACATCATCATCAGTTCCACGTTGTTGTCGTTCGCGTGAGCGTGAGCGATGGCTGTGTTTCTTCTCCTTCTTATGTTTTTTCCCAGACGACGAACCCATTTTAACGATTTGTTGCTACTTTTGTCAACTTTAGAAATTTTATAAACGTTTTCGCTGTATTCTTTTTTCTTTTTTGTTATGCTTCGGGAATTTTTCAACACTACATCAAGGAGTATGCGCAATACTGCAAAAAAATGTATCGACGATGTAACTTATCGATTAGGTATCGAGTGTTTTTTGATTAGCTAAGCACCAGAATTGATGAAAATCTACAGCTGTCTGGCAGCACAGCATTATATTATTAGCGCTATTTTCAAATTTGAAAAAAATGGTCTACATCAATATTTTTCTATTTTAATTACATGCGTATATATTTAATATATAATTTTTTACATATACATATGTATGTAACCTAATTTCTAAGAAATGCATAAATTATAGTTGTTATATATCTTAATTAACGCGATCCCAGCGCCAAACTGTGCTATCATCACATACACAAATCAAAATGGATCCATCCTTGGAGAATGAAGTTTGTCTAATGGTTGATGTGCATTTGGGATGTACAAGTTGGCTGCATTTGGTCAAATTCGGATCATTTGAGTCCAGCTCCCAGACAAATGTTGTACCCAACTGATTGCCCAAAGCGAGGACTTTTTGCCACGCATTAAACGCGAACCGCACAAACCAAATCTCGCACATTTTATAATCGAAATGATGGAGAACAGTTGTCGAGTCCTGTGGCTTGATCTCATGGCGCTGTGCAAACAACTTACCCGGCTTCCAGCATACAATTGAGTTCTCACACGACTTGGAAAATATAAAATCACCAAACCACTGAACGCAGTCCACATAATTGCGATGAATGTCTCGAGTGGAGAAGTCTGGAAAATGCTCCTTTATGGTGGGAAATGGTGCCGTATTTTTGCTGGAATTAAAGCTTGAGCTTAGCTCTATGGCCTCCTTAATTTCGGGCTTATTGAGGCGCCACAGCTTTAGCGAATGATCCATGCCGCTGGACATAATGCGATCGCCCCTCAAATCAAAATCAATTGATAGCACTTCGTCCCGATGGCCCTCGACGCCGCCGAAAACAGCGACACAAACATCCGTTTGTATATTCCACAAGCGTAAAGAGTGATCCTTGCTGCCCGAGAGCAACAATTGTGGTAAAATTGGATGAAATTTCAATTCATTTATCGCATGCCCATGGCCAATATAATTCTTCGCGCACTGATGCTTGATGATATTGAAAATGCGTATTACGCCACGATAACCAGCTGCAGCCAGAACCGGATCACCGGTTGCAGCATCATAAGACCAAGCACAAGTGTAGAAACTTTCATCTGTCTGCAAACAAGTTGGGTATGAAATCAAAAAGTATTTATGCATATTTATAACGAACTTACATCCGGATCTGCATAAACCTGCAGTAAACGTATGGTGTCTGCATCGCAAGACTCGGCTTCAATATTATTTTTAACGCATTCATAGATAGAGACACGATCTTTACCCACAGTGGCGAACACGGCTTGGCTTCTATCCAGATGGGGATTGAACTGAACGCCAAATATTTGATGATTGTGATCCTCGCGCACATGATGGCTGCAAGAGGGATATTCAAGTAGATAAAACAACTTCAATGCCGACGCTGGCACTGAAATCACCTATATTTATATGAAGGCTGCACCATTTTTGGCGCCTTCGCCCGTCGACACAATCTTCTAAGTTTTCGTGTGTTAGGGGATTTGCTTTTGCTGCGTGTTGTTGTTGTTGTAGTCGAGCTAAAGACGCTGGCCGAGTCCAGGGAGTGCGTGTCCTCGATATCGACAATGGGTATAGCCACCGGGGACGTGTCAGTTATTTGAAGTGATGTTTCGGATGCTATGACATCTCCTCCAATTACTAAATGTTCCTCTTTACCTTCGCTAGAACTATTTTCCGTCATTGCACGACTCACCAAATTGTTTACTTTTTTCCCACTGCCGCAGCGTTGCCACCTTGCTAGGAGAAAAGTCCTAAACAAGGTCCAAATAAAATACCAATTGGCATTCAGCAGCTCAACATACATACATATGTATTTGTGGCCAGAGAATATAAAAAGATGGATTAGCATTAGTATCTTTATTCACAAACAACTAATTTTAACTTTCATAAACCGATTCACCGTCATTGTGCCAATTGTTTGTTTGTTTGCACTAGAGATGCCACTTTGCTAACGCTCAGCTGTCCAATTTGCCAATTTAAATAAAATACTGCATTATTTTATTATTTTATTTACTTAAATATATGATATATATGATATGGCTTTTTAACGACGCTCAGTCTGATTGGCCCTCAGCAGCTCGTCAATATACTTGTCCACTTCCTCGTGAGCCTTTAAGCTGTGATCTGTGCGCGAGAATATCTCATTTATGAAATACATACGCAGCAAGTCGGCCTTTGTTTGCAGTAGTTGCGCCTGCGCTTGCTGCAATTTGAGCTCATGTCCCAGATGTGGACCCATTTTTAACTCGGCAGCCTTCATCATAAGCGCACACTTGTGCCGGGTCATATGCACCAACTTCTCCAAGCAATCACGTTGCTCCTTTTGCATTCTAATTATTTCTTGCTGTCCTTGCGTTAACTGCGCCTCCTCTTCCCTTACCAATGCACCCGGCAGTTCAGCACGTATTTTATCGCCCAACTGTGCGATTGGCGTTAGGACCGTACGCAAGTTATCTGCCAATTTGGTGCGAACTGCTTTACTGTCAATATAACTGAGAGGGGGACATCTACTACATTCCTGCAAGTCTATAAGTGTGTGTTTAAGGTGTAGTAAAGAAACATATCTCACATGCATATGTATAAACAAGCACTTTTCTCTTACCTAGCAAATGCTCCTGATCATCACCCAGACGTATATAATCGGCTACCGAAACCAATTTGAGAGCTCGTTTAATTTCTGGGGTCTCCTCAGGTCCAAGATTTAAATTACGAATTTCATTCAATATTAACTTCAGCTTTAAGACTTTTTTCAGCTCTAAGTCACGTTCCTCTAATAAGTCTTGGGTCCCAGTGGCCATCATCGTGTTAGATTTATCATCAATTTCCATTGCAGATTTTTTTACTCTTTCTTTCAAAAAAAGCAGCGCAAAACAGGGCTGTGACGATTGGTGTTGAAAAACGAATTTGCGGCATCGGCTTTTCTTGAGACTCTTCAGACACTAAAAATTATCGATACCGATCGAAAGCATAATTAAATATTAATTCCGTCACAGGGTCACATTTTCCGTAATTTAAAAAATAAAGTATTTCTATGTAAATAAAATAATCTTTGAAATTTGCAGCTTTTAATATTTTTTAAATGACGACTTGAATATTGAATTAATCCTTCATTACGCGAACAACCTCTCAATAAGGAAAAAGTGAGTATTTGAAATGAGATAGTGAGAACTCAATAAATGCAATCAAGTTTCAGTGCTTGCTTCATTAAAAAACAGTATTTTATGGTCGACGCTTGGATTAGTGGGTGGAACAATCTTCAAATATTTAACATACAAGAAGAAATCAAATCAAGAAGTTCTCGAAATTTTGATATTCAACGAACTGAGCATCAAGTGTCCCAACAGACATTTTAAGAACAAGGCCTCTGATGGCTGCAACAAATATTGCAGCAGGCGTCACATTCAACAGATCATTCAACAAATCAATCGGGCCGTATATTCTATAGACATTGCCATCTACACATTTACCAACGTTGAATTACTGGCTGCATTCTATCGAGCGCTGAGTCGTGGTGTCGTAATACGCGTTATTACAGATCCCGAAATGGTTTGCACTTCTGGCTCCAAAATCTTGAGCCTGTTCAGGTCCGGTGCTGAGGTTCGTATGCCAGAGACAACGGCTATGATGCACCACAAGTTCCTGGTGGTGGATGAAGATTCACGTGTAAAGCACCTTTTGGAATGTAGGGACAGAAAAACTAAGCCACAACCTTATTTTGGTATCATGTTCTATGGCTCCGCCAACTGGACATCTCAAGGCTTTAATGGCAACTGGGAGAACGGCATCATTACCTCCGATAAACTGTTACTGAGTCAATTTCAATCAGAATTTGACAGAATGTGGGAATCCTTTAAAAATTATTCGCCAACAAACAAAACAAACGCGCTTAGTAATCAATGTACATAGTTTATTTACTTAATCTAATTATTCTTAGAGTCAAGACCACAGTCATAAAATATTTTTCAACTACTTGGCCTGTTGTTTTAATTTTTCCAGTCGGCGCGTAAATGTCTCCTTTAATGCATTCAGTCTTTCCAGTTCTGAACGCATTTCTATATATTCCAAATAGGAAACTTCCGATTTGAGCAATATTTCATGCTTAAGTTTTAGCACGCGGTTGACTTCCTTTTGCTTCTGTTTAGTCTTAGTTAGCTTCACTGTGATTGAATTGTCTTTCGTTTTCTTTACCGTCTTTGATTTCTTAGATTTCTACGAAAAACGTAAATAGTTTAATTTATATCAATGTTGATATTTTTATTTTCGACTTACTTCCATCCTTCTTTTGTTTATTGTTGACGCTGGGCAGTTTGGAATCATCTGCAAATGTGTATAGTTAAGGGGGCCATATTTTTTTATTACTGAAATAATCGATAAGTCTAATGTACGCTGCCGATAAACGCGTAAACTCGAGCGTACAAGAAATATACAAGAACAATTGTATTTGTTGGGAATTGTAGATTCTGTGATTTCTTTTATTAAATGAATGCTCTTACGGATAAGGTACTCGTGACCAAGGAGGCTCTGGCTGTGGCCCTTGGTGACAATTGGGAGCGGTATAGAGCAAATATGAAAAATTGGTTTCGCAATCGTTGGACGAAGGAGGAATTCGATTGCGAGTGTCGAAAAATAATGACGCCCGACAAACTCCATTTGCACAATCAATTCTTACTGGCGCTGCTCAATAAAATCGATGCATTTGCTGCTCCTGAAACAATTGCTACCCTACAGCCCACATGCACATCGAGCAGCCGAAGTGGCAGCGGCACAGCTGGCAGCAGCAGCAGTCGGAAACGCAAACGCAGCTCTCGCACATTTGCGGATCGCATCAATTTCGAGCTATGCGATATACTAGAGTTTGTTAAAGAGGACAATATGCAGTTGATACGCCCGCCCACATTAGCCGGTGACCAGGGAATGCAGCAACAACAACTGCCCACACAACGTTATTGCGCCCAAGAACTATTCCTGCCCGACGCTGGATTTATAATGGGACGCTTCTTGATTGGTGCCTGGGAGATTGGTTTGATCTCTGTGGAGGACAATGTAGCCGAGTATGTGGCCATGGCCGTCCAGGTGCTGCTCAAAGATTTGATAGCATCGATTATTAAGAAACGCAAACATTATAAAACTACCGGCGAAGGCAACTTTTTCTACGATGTGGGCGCCCAGCTGCGTGATCCATCGCTGCGCAACACCGTCACACGGCAGAAGGTGGACGACACGCCACTAGAGCACGACAAAGAGCTGAACACAGCCAACTTTATGAGAAGACAAAACGATGACATTGTCTTTCTCTCGGCTTGCGAGCAAGTGTAAGTACTGGAAGGCTCGCAAAGTTCAGTTGAAGAACTAACTCTACTTTCTTATTTTCAATTAGCTTCCCTTGCGAACGTACTGTGATCACGTTGAAAGATTGCCAGCGTGCTTTTAGGGACCGCAATCTAATTGGATCTCACACTGTTTACTCTCTCAATATGGAACGCTTAAATATGATGATGCATTAAAAAATTTGTACTCCAGCAGTATCTATTTATGATATTCAATAACAATATTTTCTAACAAAGCTCACGAGGCGGTGGCTTAAAGGGCACCTTTCCGGGAGCGAATTGCTCCGCTTTGAAGGCTTCTATCTCCTCAGCTGTAAGATCTTCCATGCGACTGTATACTGAGGAAGTAGTAGCCGACTGTTGCAGCTGTTGTTGCTGTTGTTGCATTTGTTGAGTTGAGTCTGATTGCATTTGTTGCTGCTGTTGGAATCCGCCCGCTGGCTGGGTAAAAAATCCACTCGAGGATTGAGTGGCTGCTTGTGCAAATATGTTGCCTGTGTTGGCGGCGGCGGGCTGTGGCTTGGTGAACATTCCGCCCATAAAAGGTTGCTGCTGTTGTTGTTGTGGGGCAAAGGCAACAGGTTGGCCAAATGGTGTTGCATTTGTTGGCTGTGCCTGTCCAAAGACATTGTTGTTGTTAGAAACTGGTGCTTGAGCCTGCCCGAAGGGATTCGGCTGTGGCTGTTGCTGTTGTGATTGACCAAATATGGATGTCTGCGTCTGTCCAAGCTGTTGTTGTCCGAAGAGACTGGGCTGTTGCTGCTGTTGTCCTGCAAACGTTTGCGTTTGCGGCTGTTGCGCAAAAACATTTGTATTTTGTGCAGATGCAAAAATGTTGTTGCCGCCATTACTAGAACCAAAGATTGAGTTTCCCGCTGACCCGAAGCTTGGAGTCACAGTCGAACCACCACCAAAAATATTCGAACTGCCGGAGCTCAAAGCGGGTTTGCTAAAAATTGAGCTGGATTGCGCAGCGAAAGGATTATTGTTATTAGCAGCTGGTTGGATTCCCTCTGGTGTTTCATATAACTTGATCATTACATCGAGTACTTGTGGTGGGAATTGCAGCATAAGCTTCATTTTCATTGTCGCTTCATGCACTTCCTTGGTGAACTGCTGATGGAATTGATCGAAACAGTTTTGCCGCTGACTTTCATATGCTTGAAATCGAACCTCTTCGAAGGATTGATCTTCTATGAAGTTGGGTATATTGGGCTTATCCTTGAACGGCCCATACACTGATAAGGGCCACATTTTGCCATTGATGCAAGCTTCAACGTCTGTCTTCAGATATTGCCTAAAATTACATTTATGATCAAACTGAATCTTTTAATATTGCTATGTGCACTTACTTAACATCAAAATGTTCATTATGGCATTTTGCACCGAAACGGCAAGAGCCCTGTTGAAAAAAACGGCATACTCCCATTGTATCGTTTATTTCATATATAACTTGCAAATTGTAAAATTCAACTTCATCTTTTCGCGCAAATCAGAGCATCTTTTCGAGAATCACTAAACAGCTGACTATGCTTACGACACAATGCTGCCAACTTGTCTGAAACATTTTGTGAGCGCCGCTCTCATCATACTCATATGAAAATGGAGCACAAACTAAAATGTTTTAATAGTTTTAAATGTAGTACTTACAAATCAAATGGAACCTTCAATTTATCCATATTAAACTATCCATTTATAAACTATTCTCGATATAATCGGAATAAATAGTAATCGATAGATTATTTTACAGCTTTCAACTGTCTACGGTGTCATCAAACTTGTTGCTGTTAACAGCTGTTAAATAACATAAATATTTTAATTTGTTGTTGGAATTTGAGCGGGTTGGTCGTCGCGTCGGCTTGTCACGGATAAAATGTTGACGCTTGTAAATTATTGCAAAGATAAAACACACGCCTTGAGCGATCGCTCCTTCAACTAGTTTCATATACACTTAGAAACTTCGCTGTGTAAAAGGCTGAAACAAAAAAAAGAGCAACTAGTCTCGGTGATCGTTTTGCGTCTGCGTTTCTGTATCTCGAAAAGGGCAGGCAGGAAAATTCAAGCCAATAAAAGATACATACTAAAAGCCGAAGTGCGCGAAAATTGTGTCTGCTTGTTTTTGCGTGTGCATATAAGTGTGTGCGTGTCTTGTATATTGTTTGCAAGAAGCTACTAAGCCAGTGATACTATATTATTGCCTTCAAATTGTGCCACCATCTGCTGTTATTCAAACAATTAATCGCGGCTACGCTCTGCGTTTGCATCGGAATGCGGCAACATCAGCGACGCGCATGCGTTTTCAAATACATGTCTTCGCAATTGTCACGATCGCGGAACTGTGCAGCTTAACGCACTCGTCTGCAGCTTCTTCTTGCCTGTGTCCCCCAAAACTGTGTAAATAGCATAGAAAAAGAAGCGTAAGGCAACTGTCAAGCAAGCATCACGGGGCACACATACTTGTGCATATGTATTACATACATACATACATATATAGGTAAGTACACACTCCTTCCACCCACTGTCTATGCCCTGCCATTCTGAAACTCTACCTCTAACCATCTCTAACTGCCCGCCCACTTGCCAGACGATTTATAAGGCAAACAAAATTAACTCATAGGTTTGGATAGGAACGTTCCCTCCTTGTCTCTCGTTCCCATCTCCTCTCTCCATGAAGCCGCTCAAATTGCTCTATTCTGGCGCACTGTGACGCCTACTTGGCTGCACATTGGGCGCGCCCACAACTTTTGTTTTTCTCTCCGGTTTCCATTGTTGCCCACTTGGCAAGACTTAAATAAATAAACCACCAGCACAAAGAATAAGAGGAAGAATTTTACAGGCAGAAAAGGGTCAAACTTAAAACGACAATAACATCAATTTTGAGGCATTTATATGCGCCAATAAATTTCACAGTGAAACAAGAGACTACAACAACAACAAAAGAGCAGAAAAAGATGCACGGCAACGACTCAACAATAAGAGAGATCAAACAAAAAACTGCAGTCGCTGCCGACGCTGCTTTCGTATTTGTTGTTGTTGTTGCTGGTGATGTTTTTATGTGCTGCAACAGGTAAAACTGATTGAGCAGCGGCCAACAACAAACAGTGCAGCATTTCGAAATGTAATGTGCAGCAAATCAATACGAAAATGCATGCAAGACAATCTGCAGTGAAAGAGAAAGAAAGAGATGGAGAGAGGAGCGCCATGCGGAGCTGAGGCTCTGGCAACCTGTTGCGTCGGCTGCTGCTGCTGTTAGAAATATGTTAAGCTAATTTTGTGTATCGATAAACTGTAACTAATGCTAAAACAGCATGCAGCTAACAACGACAACAACCCTACAACAGTTATGCAAAGTTCGTTGTACGAGCTTTTTGTCAATGAAGTTGTTGGCAGGCAAAAAAAAAAAAATAAATAAAACTTTCTTTTCCTTGTGAGCTTATCACGTAGCATCGGTGAATGCGTACACCGACTGCTGCTGCTGCTGCTGCTGCTACTCCAATCGCTGCTCTCTTTTCGTGACGTTCTGTGTGTCTCTCTCTTTCTTTCGTTTTTTCTTCTTTTTGTATAATTGGGCGGCTTTTTAGTTTTACGCGGCTGCAGCATATCAGCTTCATGGTTCATTAAGGCAATATATAGGTTGCCCCTTTTACCACTCCCAGTGTTAGCGCTGCGTGGGAAGTTTGGAATGTAGTATTGGTGTGTCTGCCAGTGTATGTGTGTGTGTTGGTGTGTGTATGTATGTTGTTGTCATCTTTGGGTCCATCTTTGATTTCCTCCCATTGAACGCTCAACTGGCCGCAACAAGTGTCCCAGTTTATGGCCACAGCTGAAGCAACTAGAACAAGTTATAGTTTAACTTTCCTCTAGGCTTTCAGATAGTTTTCTTACGCTGCTATTGCCTCGCCTTCCCCCATTAACGTTGGCAACATTTTCCCACATACATGCAAGCGCACAGTAGAACGAGTGCTTTTGCCAACTTTTGCATTGGCGCGCCTCTAAAATGACAACGGCACATCAGAAAAGAGAGGTAGCCATCGGGAATGCTGGCTCTAGAGAATAAGAGAATTCTTTAAAAAAATGCTTTACAAATTATTCCTTGAAATGTGTGAGAGTTACAATGCTAATTTCTCTGAAATCTAATGCCAATTTTAAGTTGGCTTAGTCGAAGATTTAATTAATAGAGCATAAAGCATCTCATGGATATCAAGTTTAGCTTAGATATTTTACAGAGGTCAAATATAAACTGTCATTGTTCCGTGTAAGGAATGTGCCGGAGATGTCTCATATAAGGTGTTACAGGTTTCTCAAACATTTTAGCCAACTATTTTATAAACAATGGCTTGTAAGCCAGTAAGTAATGGATGTGATAGGAACTTACAAAGATAGCAACCTCTTCTATTATATACTTCTACTTCTTCTAATGAAATAACAAGCTCAAGCTTCCTGTACTGAAGCGTCGGCATGCTTTAGTTACAGTTATATTGCATAGCCGCGCCGCATTTGAACCAACATCAGCTAGCTACCAACAATGCCCGCCTCCTAAGCATCAAGCCCCAAAGCTTTTGGTCAGCAACGGATGCAATGCCGCTAATGCCATTGTCTGTGTGCTCTGTGCAGAGAATGTTGCAATCCAATGCAATGCAATGCAATGTTCATCATTTTTGTTGCAGTTGCTGTCAACGTTATTGCTGCTGTTGCTGTTGCTGCTGCTGCTGCTGCTGCAGCTGCAGTGCCTTCTACTGCTGCTGCTGCTCCTGCTGCTGCTTTGGCTGCGATAAACATTGCAGAAATTTACATAAAATGTTACTGCACATAAAACAGCGGCTGCGAAATTTCTTTGGCTTAGTTGTTTGGCCAAAACTAATATCGCATGCACAAATTAACATTAACACTTTGCTTGCCGTTAAAAAACTAGTTTTGTGTTGAGCTAAAACACTTAAACAAAAAAACAAAAAAAATAGTGCCACAAAAGTTGTGTTAGAAGACAAGAAAGCAGAATCTGAAATATGTCAATATAGACGACTCTGAAATGCCCTATAGCATCATCAACAGAAAGAGTTTTTGAGAATGTCAATTGAATATTAGACTAATAGATTCATATTGCAGACAATACGAAATGCATTTTATAAACAATTTGAAATGCTTATCTGAAAAACAAAAATAAAAGGTTCTATTTCTCTTTATATACCTCGATG